GGTCAAAGTGAAGACCAAGGAGAAACCCGACGAGGGCAAGGATCGTGACGTGCAAGGAATGCAAGCTAAAGTGTCGACAAAAGATGTGTGTGATGCACCTCAGAGCCTGGATGAAAAGACTGTTGGGAAAGAGGCAATCCCCAAAGGAGCTGAAGTGCGCATTTCACAACCAGGTACACAAGCCACTATAAAGCAGACTGAAATCACATCAGTTACCGTAGCAAAGGCTCCAACGAGCGATACAGATCAAACAAGTATCCAGGGCGGAAAAGTGCCAACAAAGAAAGACCTGACACCAGCTGCTGTTGAGCCAGAAAAGGCTGCAGTTGACAAGGCCATGGTGGAAGTGAAGACCAAGGAGAGACCCAAAGAGGTCAAGGATCGTGATGTGCAAGGAATGCAACCTAAAGTGTCGACAAAAGATGTGCATGATGCACCTCAGAGCCTGGATGGAAAGACTGTTGGGACGGACAAAATCCCCAAAGGAGCTGAAGTACATGTTTTTCAACCAGGTACACAAGGCACTGTAAAGCAGACTGAAATCACATCAGCTACCGTAGCAAAGGCTCCAAAGAGTGGTACAGATCAAACAAGTATCCAGGGCAAAAAAGTGCCAGAAAAGAAAGACCTGACACCAGCTGCTGTTCAGCCAGCAAAGGCTGCAGTTGAGAAGGCCATCATGGAAGTGAAGCCCAAGGAGAAACCCAAAGAGGGCAAGGATCATGATGTGCAAGTAATGCAACCTAAAATGTCGACAAAAGATGTGCATGATGCACCTCAGAGCCTGGATGAAAAGACTGTTGGGAAGGAGAAAATCCCCAAAGGAGCTGAAGTGCGCATTTCACAACCAGGTACACAAGCCACTATAAAGCAGACTGAAATTACATCAGTTACCGTAGCAAAGGCTCCAAAGATTGATACAGATCAAACAAGTATCCAGGGCGAAAAAGTGCCAGAAAACAAAGACCTGACACCAGCTGCTGTTGAGCCAGAAAAGGCTGCATTTGAGACGGCCATGGTGGAAGTGAAGACCAAGGAAAAACCCAAAGAGGGCAAGGATCGTGATGTGCAAGGAGTGCAAGCTAAAGTGTCGACAAAAGATGTGCGTGATGCACTTCAAAGCCTGGAAGAAAAGACTGTTGGGAAGGAGGAAATCCCCAAAGTAGCTGGGGTGTGCGTTTTACAACCAGGTACACAAGCCACTATAAAGCAGACTGAAATCACATCAGTTACTGTAGCAACGGCTCCAACGAGCGATACAGATCAAACAAGTATCCATGGCGGAAAAGTACCAACAAAGAAAGACCTGACACCAGCTGCTGTTCAGCCAGCAAAGGCTGCAGTTGACAAGGCCATGGTGGAAGTGAAACCCAAGGAGAAACCCAAAGAGGGCAAGGATCGTGATGTGCAAGAAGTGCAAGCTAAAGTGTCGACAAAAGATGTGCGTGATGCACTTCAGAGCCTGGATGAAAAGACTGTTGGGAAAGAGGCAATCCCCAAAGGAGCTGAAGTGCGCATTTCACAACCAGGAACACAAGCCACTATAAAGCAGAGTGAAATCACATCAGTTACTGTAGCAACAGCTCCAAAGAGCGACACAGATCAAACAAGTATCCAGGGTGAAAAAGTGCCAGAAAAGAAAGACCTGACACCAGCTGCTGTTCAGCCTGGAAAGGCTGCAGTTGACAAGGCCATGGTGGAAGTAAAGACCAAGGAGAAACCCGAAGAGGTCAAGGATCATGACGTGCAAGGAATGGAAGCTAAAGTGTTGACAAAAGATGTGCGTGATGCCTCTCAGAGCCTGGATGAAAAGACTGTTGGGATGGATAAAATCCCCAAAGGAGCTGAAGTGCGCATTTCACAACCAGGTACACAAGGCACTATAAAGCATACTGAAATCACATCAGTTAACGTAGCAAAGGCTCCAAAGAGCGATACAGATCAAACAAGTATCCAGGGCGAAAAAGTGCCAGAAAAGAAAGACCTGACACCAGCTGCTGTTCAGCCTGGAATGGCTGCAGTTGAGAAGGCCATGGTGGAAGTAAAGACCAAGGAGAAACCCAAAGAGGGCAAGGATCGTGACGTGCAAGGAATGCAAGCTAAAGTGTCGACAAAAGATGTGCGTGATGCACCTCAGAGCCTGGATGAAAAGACTGTTGGGAAAGAGGCAATCCCCAAAGGAGCTGAAGTGCGCATTTCACAACCAGGAACACAAGCCACTATAAAGCAGACTGAAATCACATCAGTTACTGTAGCAAAGGCTCCAACGAGCGGTACAGATCAAACAAATATCCAGGGCAAAAAAGTGCCAACAAAGAAAGACCTGACACTAGCTGCTGTTGAGCCAGAAAAGGCTGCATTTGAGACGGCCATCATGGAAGTGAAGACCAAGGAAAAACCCAAAGAGGGCAAGGATCATGATGTGCAAGGAGTGCAAGCTAAAGTGTCGCCAAAAGATGTGCGTGATGCACTTCAGAGCCTGGATGAAAAGACTGTTGGGAAGGAGGATATCCCCAAAGTAGCTGGGCTGTGCGTTTTACAACCAGGTACACAAGGCACTATAAAGCAGACTGAAATCACATCTGTTACGACATCAAAGGCACCAAAGACCGGTAAAGATCAAACAGATATCCCGGGTCAAAAAGTGCCAGAAAAGATAGACCTGACACCAGCTGCTGTTCAGCCAGAAATGGCTGCAGTTGAGATGGCCAAGGTGGAAGTGAAGCCAAAGGAGAAACCCAAGGAAGTCAAGGATCGTGACGTGCAAGGAATGCAAGCTAAATTGTCCACAAAAGACTTGCATGATGTACCCCAGAGCCTGGATGAAAAGACTGTTAAAAAGGGAGACATTCTCTTGAGTGTACATGAATACAAAACTGTCACAATAGAAAAGGAACCAAAGATAGAATCAAATATCCTGTCTGAGACAATCAAAAAACACAAAGTTGTGACCACCACTAAAATGACAACTGTAGAAATACAAGAAAGCTTTACTGGATCCCTGTCTGAACCCAGTGTGGTGCCAAGTGCCCAAACTGAGGGGCATGCAACAGATGCAATGGGAAAACAAAAGGAGGAATGGACGGAGGAGAAGAAGAGGACTATTCAGGAAAAGGACAGGGAAACGATGGTCAGGGTTGAAACACAAACTGTTAAAGTCCCAAGTGCCACGACCCACAGCACTAGTGATGTGACACTGCAGAGAATGGATTTGCCACAGGTAAGACACTGGGGGGCACAAATCTGCAGTTACATATGATGTAGTAAAATTACGTGTAAGAGTACTCCCATTAAGGCCACTATGTTTCGTTTGTTTTGGGTGGAGTGAATTTTGGTTTTGGCACACTTCATCGGTAATTCTAAATGGATTACCATTACCAAGTTAACACGTGATGCTATCATGCTAGTATCCCCCCCCCCATACCTTCATAACAATCCAGGATTGCACGGGGGCATACAGTATATGACAGTATTTGCGTGCGGCACTTTCCCACCTCACCCCCAGACCCGACTGGTGACTTTGCTATGTTCTGCAAGCATTCTTGTTCTGGTCTAATAAAAAGATAAACTCACTAGATAGAGGAGACTAGAAGAGAGGTAATATTCTTCCACGTATTTTTATTGAACAGATAAATACAAACCATTCCCTTTCCGAATTTATGTTTCTGTCCTTAACCAAACTAAGACTAACGTTAGCTTAATCACCTTTTTTAACTCATCCTTAAACACACTTGATTCAAACAAAAGCAAAATAAAACTCACCAAAATCATTTTGGTTAGTCTTATAAGTTGGTAAGTTAGTTAACTGTTCAACAATTACCACCTCTGGTTTGATTGAAATGAACCATTAATTCACAGAGTTAATTCTCCGCTCTCTCTGCTGTTGTGGGTACGACACGGGTTGTCTGTTTACATTTGGTCCTGTAACGTTATTCCGACTACTTGCAGTCAGCTCAGCTGCATGTCGCACCAGACTGACCTCTGGTGGCACGTGATGCACACTACATGCAAAACATTCTCATTCCAGCCTCTTCAGTATGAGGTTAATAAGGAGATGACAGCTGTATTTTTGACAGTATTGAAAATCATACTGTTAAAATTTCTAAATATCGTGATATACTGTGATACCGCCCAAGTCTACTTGATGCATGTCTATTAAAAATCCTAGTAGTGTATAATAAAGCAGGAGTAACTCATCACTACATTGCATGTGCATCATGTCTTTGGTGTTTAATGCATGCTCTCCACTGCTTTACCCACCACACTTAGATGTTTCACTGATATAGTGTCAACAAAATGGACAAGTTCTCCTCTTCAGTTTTCAGTCCCTTCCCCCCGGGAAATGTCAGTTTAACAATGCAGAATACCTTTTGTAACTACAATAGAAGATAATATTACATATTCAAAGACAAGTTGAGCAGACAGAGAGACAGACAGTGTGAGAGAGACAACAATATCCAATGAAAAGGAGGATTAAAAAAAAGGAGTTTTCCTGCCCCAGGCAAGTTATACGTGTGAACCCTCTATTATGCTCAGTCTCTTGCATGTGCTTGTTTGCACTTGCCCCGATGTTCTTTAGAGGTGCATTGATGACTGGTAAATGCACCTTTACAGCTTCTGTAAAAGTTTACAATATTCATAAATTCTTGTTATATTTACTGTTCATTTAGGTTTGCACGAGAGGCATATGCAGATACATTTTATTAGCACATTTTATTAGCATTACAGGCAAAGCAAAGAACAGAAACTTGAGACACCTGTGCTACCAATGGTTTCATTGCCCCTGGGTCATAATATGAGCTTCCATATAAATGTTTTCACCGTATGGCAAGTCAAAGGGAGTATGGCTTGGCAGACTTCCAGAGTAATTCAAATGGGATGGACTTACTTCATAAAGAGAGACACAGTTCTTTTCTTAGCTCAACCGACACGATGTACAGTTGTCTGTCAGAACCTTTCCGGCATTAATTCTGTCTTTTTTGTGTCCACAATGGGAGCAGGTGTACAAGACTGACAAGAGATCCCCTGCATCACTGCAGGCAGTTCAGAAATCTTCAGCTGACTTTATCTGGGGTGAGGTAAGCCTGGTGGAGGGATTGCCCCTTCAGGAAAGCAAAACTCAAGCAGAAGCAGCTTTTATGAAGACTGAGAAGCTTTCTCTGAGGGAACCAAAAGGATCCGCCATGAGGACCATCTTCACAGAGATACACCTACTCTCAGGGACAGGACCCACCTGTCAATTTATTGAGGTATCATTAGTGTGCCACAGTGTCTTTTTTGAAACTGCCATCAAGAGTCATCAGTGTTAAAAATTGTCAAATCGTACACATAAGGTCTTTAAGTGTAAGGAACAGTGGTGTGATGTCAGAATTGCTGGTTTGAATGTAGCTCATGGTTGTTGCATTATGTTGCCTTCTTCTCTTCCTTCCTGTTGATCCACTGTTTATTAAAAAATTCACAGTGCAATGCCATTAATGCAGTGTAATTACAGAAAACCTCTTCAGTTTATAGGCCTTAAATGGGCTCATAAATTTAAAGTAAGATCCTTTTTTTTAAAATTTGATTATGCTTGGACTACACCAAAACCCATTTAGGGGCCTCAACTTGACTTTTAAGGCTCCAGACTGATGTGTGTCTTTGTTTTAAGGGTAAACCATTGGAGGCTGCTCAAGAGGGTCTGATTACATCCACCAGTGATCTGGACAACCGTCTAAGCAGGCTGGTGTCGAAAGTCTTGAGCTGCAAGAACCAGCCAGCTGAGCTCAACCCAACAGCCATGGCCAAGCAGCTGGAGGAAGTTCAGGTGTGAAAAATAAATGATTTATAGCAGCAGCTTGATTTGTAGATACTGGAGTTGGACAGCAGGTTGGGAAGTAATGCCAAAGTGCCTCCTGAATTGGGCATCTCTAATGCTTATCTGTACCAGCCTGTTCAAAAGGTGGATATTAAAAACAGCTACACATTCGTCAAAATAATTATACAACAGGACCTTACCATTGTAGCTGTTTAAACCACTTTTTAAACCGCATTTTACTTTTGTTCAGTAATAATCAGATAATCTTAATAAACTATGTACTTTGAGTAACTGTGTTTTCTTTCGCTTGCTGAGTACAGGAGTGCAGAGAAACTGCCCAGGCACAGGTGTCATTGCTTTCTCAGCTGAAAGGAGCTGATGCTGAGAACAAGGATGCTTTGGAGCATGTAACGGACCAGTGGACTGCAGCTGTACAGGATGCAGCTGCTGTCATCCAGACTAAAGAGGCCCAACTGCAGCTGGTGACTGATTACTGCAAACAGACCCAAGAAGCTAAGAACACACTGGATAGACTGACAACAGAACTGGCTGCTGTCAGAACGTGAGTGTCGTCTATGGTTCCCTTTTAATTTCTTGTTTTTCTGTTATCATTTATCAGAATCTGAATTATTTTATTTTTATTTTTTAGATACTTCTTACCTCAAAATATATAGATTCAAACACACATTTTCTAAAATTGTGATTTAAATAATGTTTGAGATGACTTTACACTGGAAGAACAACAGTTTTAAAAAGCTATCTAAAACAATATTTTTATATTAATATTGGATGTAATGTAAATCTCATACTTGCATGAGACATATATAAGATTGTAAATGCCAAGCACATGATTTAAAGACTTGACTTTTTCTTTCAGGCCCCCAGAGGAGAGCAGCTCCAAGGAGGCAGAGCGACTGTGCGCCTTACTGAGAAGTACGGAGGAGAACAGAACAGTACTTGGGGAGCTGCTCGTGACCCATACCAAGTTATGCCCCCACCTCAGCTCTTCTGAGCGAGCTACCGCACAGACTGGGCTGAAGAACCTACAAGGGAAGTGGGGCGGCCTAGAATGGGCTGTGGAGAGGTCATTGTATCACACAAATGTCCATGCTCAGGAGACCAGCAGCCTTCTGTCGGCGATATCAGGTCTTCAGGAACAATTGGAGACAACTATCAAAGACCTTGAAGCCATGTCTCCTTCAGCTACGCAGTGGAATTGCAAGAAGGCACAGCAGCTGATGGTGGCAAACGCTGATGTTAAAGCTGCCCAGCAGAAATACCTTCATTTGCAGCAGCTTTCAGAGGCAGTTCTACGCTTGCGAAGGGAGAGGGATACAACAGAGATACAGCAGGGGCTTCAGAGGATCAAAGACCAAGTTTGCCGTACAGAGGAACTGGTGTCCTCACAAACTCAGAACAGCACCAACCCCATCATGGAGAAAATTATCGTGGTGATGAGGGATGGCTTTGCCTGGGCGAAGCAAACAGAGAGTGACATTGAGGGCAGGAGGAAGAGGGTGGCTCTCCTCCCTGAGGAGGTTCACAGGCAACTCAGAGATCTGAAGAAGCTGCAGTCTGAGGTCATGGCCAAACAGGGCCAACTGGAGTCCCTGGTAGAGGAGGTGACGGAGCTTCTTCCACAGCTGGACCAGGCTGAGGAGGTGCCCATGGTGCGCTCCTCTCTTGAATCCCTTGAAGATCTTTCAAAGTTAACCACTGAGAAGCTAGCCAAGGCTGTGAGAGATATAGAGTCAGGACTGCAGACCAGAGAGAAACTGTCAGAGCAGATTGCTGACCTGGACTCCTGGGTTTTGGCTCATCTGCATAGAGATGCCTCCAGGAGTCCAGACAGTGAGCTCAGGAGCCCGACTGAACTTGATCGTAGAGTACGTCAGATCCAAGAGACCCTGGCTGAGGCTGAGAAGCAGGCCGCTGTCTGTGAGGCTCTTTTAATGAAGAGTAAAGACATTGCCCCTGAACTCAGTATCACAGAGAACTGCCAGCTTTTTGATAAGCTTACAGACCTCCAGAGGGACATCAGAGCCATCAGTAGCTATGAGAAGGCCAACAAAAATGAGCTGGACACACTCACTCAGACTGTAGATTCGAGCAAGAAAAACTTGATCATCATTGAAACAAGCCTGAGGCAGATGTTAGTAGATGTGAATAGACACAAGTTCCCCATCACAAGCGAGTCCCTGCAAGCTTTGGAGCCTTTCAAACACATGATTTTAGAACACAAGTCCCAGCTTGACCTTCTGCAACCGTGGATTCCCCAAGAAAAGTCAAGAGAATTGCACTCAGTCATTTCTGAACTTCTCAGCAAAATGGTCACCCTGGAAATTAAAGCTAGAGGTCACGAGGAGTACCTGAACAAGAGGCAGTGTGTGGAGGACCTCAGGGAGAGTGTTCAGGAGCAGGTCTCTCACACCAAAGATGACAAAAGGGAGCCTGAGGACAGGTGTAAACTCTGTCAGACCCTCCTTGTCCAGCTTCCTCTTATAAAGTATATGTCTGAGGAAGCTGGCTCCAAGCTCCAGATGATCTCTGCTGACCTTTACCCCTCACAGCTGAGCACAGAGCAACAGAGACTGAAACAGAACGAGGAGAGCCTTCATACCTTGGAAATGACGCTCTACAACAACCTCAGTATTATTGAGTGGAGCCTGCAGAAGGAACTGGACCTTAACTCAGAGAAGGCATCCACTCAGGCCTTCCTCCTGAACAGCCAGCAGGAACTCCAGACACTCCCCATGTTGGAACCAAATGAAACAGTAATTGACAACGAATACCAGAGAATTATGTCTTTGAAAAAGACGGTCGAGTCAAGGATAAGAGCACTGGAGGTTCTGGAGCAAAAGAAGGGAAGTAGGAAAGGAAGTGGATCCAAAGATCTGATGGAGTTGAAGAAATCAGTCCTCAGGGAATGTGACTCTCATATGGCAAGTTGTGATGTTCTTGTTTGTTTCTTTTTTGGTGATTTTCAAATGCTTTTTATGGGTTTGACAAAGACTTTATTGTCGATGGGAACTTTGCCGATTTTCAACCAGCTGTGTCATCACTGTGAGCACCTGAAACTCCCTACTCATCTGCCTCTCTGTCTGACAACTTAGAGTGTCTTACATTATTCTAAGTCAAGTGAAAGTCACTCAACATGTATTCTGCAGGTTATATTTTTAATACTACATCGGGTATTTGCTTAAACAACCCTCCCAGTTTAGAGGGGGTTTGGAAGATAACCTTTACAAATTGCCTATTGTCTTGTGCACTTCCTGCCTCAACTGTGAATCATACTGTACTTAGCAAAGCATTGTGCACACTCTGGAAAACACATTGCATTGATAATATGGTCCAAATCATCTACAAAACTGGATTGAATACCAAGACTATGATGTTAGCTCTGATATAATTAGTGCACAGTTATTAAACAAACCGTGTTTATTATATTTTAGGAGAACATCTCCCAGGCCAAGGAGTCTCTGAGAGGCTACACATGTGCTGTTAGACAAGCAGCACAATTCCTGCGGGACATCGAGTTCTCTCTGCTGCCACCGCAGGGCTCTGCTGGACCTTGCTCTGAACGGCTGGAGGAGACCCAGCAGGCTTTGGTCTCGCTGCAGCAGCAGTTCCAGACCCACGTGGAGAAACTCCAGAGTCAGGTTATCCTGCATCCTTACCTGTGCCCCCAGAAGTTGGAGCAGTTCCAGGAGAACATTCTGAGCCAGCTCCTGGTGAGGATGTCCACTCTCCAGGCAAGGGGACACCTACGACTGGAGCATCTCAGCAGGTAATTGGCTCACAGATTCAACTCTAATTTCTCAATTTATCAGAAAGGTCTTAAAGATGCAAGTGTGTATTTATGTATGTGAAGAAAAAACAAATGTGTTTTATGTCCTGCTGATAACTGCTTTGGTAGCAGCATAGATTTTTTTTTTCTTGGTGTATTTACAAATATATATTTAAAACAAATCCAAGATCAGATTTCTACATGACAGTCTTACACATACTGAGATTTGATAGTATTATTGGTAATAATGATAATAATAATAATAACCTCCATCCATAGCATATCATATCAGTTTTGCACTTTTCAAAGACTAATATGTGTTTTATCGCCCACAAATTGGGCCACAGAACACATATTACCTGGAAGAGGCTGCAAACCCTACAGAAGACATTAAACTATGCAGTCATTTTGTGTGTTTGAAAGTCTTTGTGCGTGTGAACAGGAAATATCTTCTTCTTATTGAATATATATTTTTTAAATTCTGTCTTTCAGTTGTGCAGAACATCACAGAAAATACACTAAGTACCAAGATGAAATTATCCAGAGTGTGAAGAGTGCAGAGAACAGCCTGTCACAGTTCATCTGTCAAAAGGTCACTTGTCTCGCCGACTGCACCGACCAGCAAACCAAGCTCGGAGTATGTATGAGACTTGTCCTCTCCGAAGGTTCACTGCTCCAGTGACCCATATTTTTCATGACTTTGTTGTGTTTTAAAGTGAAAGTACTGTCAAAAAGGATTAAAAACTAGACCTAGATAATGTTTTTAATCTTTTTCCTTTTCAGTTTTAACCTCATATGAAAATTGATGGATCTCTGTTGTTCCTTGCCACTTTAAAAAACAAAAAACAAATTCTCATTAACTCTACCTCTCATGCAGGTTCTGTCCGAGGAGGTGGAGTCCCTGCAGAGGCATCTACAGGAGCTGAAAGAGTGGTGCCCAGAGCAGAGCTGTCGTGGAGGGAGGGAGGCCATCGTGGCTGCTCTCTGGAAACGTGTAGCAAGGCTACGTCGCTGCACACGAGAGCTGACAACTCGTAATAAGCAGAGCATCGCAGAATGGAGCGAAATCACCAACAGTGTAAGTTTTTTTGTTTTGTTATGAGCAGCAGCTGAATGATGAAAATAAAGAGCAGTGTGTTGTTTTATGAGGAAACTGCTTAAGCTCTAGAGTACACAACCACATTAAATAATGACTTAGCCATGCCTTTCCATACAGACATTGTAAATGGACATTTCTCCAGTCAAAACATTTAAAGTCCCCAGTTAAATCAAACTGAAAGAACATTTAATTGCACAATTTTATCTTGCTAATAGAACTACATCTTCATTTTACTTTGCTTTATTTGCACATACTTTATTTTTATCACAATGAGGTATTATTAAGACTGTGTATGGTCGCTCCTCTCAGGTGGAGAACGCCTCTGCCCTCCTAGATCAGGTGGAGGCAGAGCTCCCTGATGGCTCCTGGGTGAAGGCCTCCACTGAGGACCTTCACGAGCTGTTGCAGTCCTGGGAGCAGTACCAGGACAGACTGGACTGTGAACACAGAGCCCTGTCCGCACTGGAACTGCGCACTGCGCGGCTGCAGGGTGTTCCCGCCCACCTGGAACAAGCTCCTCCTACTCCGCTCTGTCAGCGGCTGCAGGCGATGCAGGGTCGATACAACAGGTAAGATGGAGTTTGATGTGCACTTCATAACTTTATGAAGACTTATGGTAAACATCTAGTCCAGTTTAAAATCCTCTGACTGGTCACTTTTCAGTTATATAGAGGATCATGTGCATCAATAAGTGTAAACTTCCTGCATCACCTGGCTTTAAATCTCATGTAAACAGTCCAACAGTCACTCCTCAGATGCTGACACTTATCTTTCAAACTCTGGCATCCTCTTTTTATTAATGCTATAATAGACCTTGCTCATAATGATTTTCTCTCTTGTAAAATCTAAATTGAGCAGACTTTTTATTTTCAAGGCAAAACAAAAAACTAAATTACCCATAAGCCTGAATGCAATGCTTTAACAAGCAATCAGGAGAAAGCGGGTCGGACATAGACTGCAGTGCCTCTGAGGTTGTGCAGTATTTAAATACATTTAAAGTGACAGTACTTCAGGGCTTGAAGTTCTCCGGCACGGTGCCGGATTTCCGGCGCAGGGATATTCTGGTGCAGGAATATTTTTTTCTCGTGAATATTTTATCATCTTGCCGTAGCAACAGTGATTTAACCAGTCGTTTTAAAGCAAAGCAAAGTGATAGTTCCAACTACCAATGGTGTATCACATTACTCAAGGTAAACAAGGACTTCTAGCCAATCAGAGGCAGAGTAGGGCGGGCCTTAAGTTTTCACAGTCTCTCTCAGACACACCGGACGCAGAACCGAAGCGCAGCGCCCAGCAGCGGAGGCAGTTTTCAGTCGGCGTCCATGTTAACCTATCTGACTGTCTACACAGGCCGGTGAGCAGAGCGGAGCGCCCGCGGAGGCTCACGCACTGCAGGGCTTCAGTTCGGCATCTGGTCTATTTTTCACACGAGCCGTGAGCGCCTCTGTCAAACTGGATAGAGCGGATCATACCAAACAGGAAGTTGGACACAGAAAAGACGAGAGAATCCGGCCAATTTTCAAAATAAAATAAATTTAAAAAATAAAAGCCTGTTTAATTATGATGTTGCTTGTCTGTCTATAAATATTTGTTCAGTTTGGTCTAGACACGAGAGAGATGAAAACACACAGACACACAGAGAGAGAGAGAGAGAGAGAGAGAGAGAGAGAGAAATGGCTACAGGTTGGGGGTTGCAATTCACACATACAGTAAGAGAAAGAGGCGGTGTGGTAGAGATAAGTGAGATAATTTGTGAAGCCACCAATGAGTTGTCACTTGCAAATTTGCTCAGTCAGATAGAAGATGCTCCTTGGTGTCAGAGGTCTTGAGTTCAAGCTTAAACTGATGTAAAACGTACATTTTAATGCGTTCTTGTTGTCTTCCTATTCTGCCACTTGTTGCTCAGAATTGCCTAAAATTGCCCGGCCCCAACCATTTTGTAGTAGCTGATGACCAAATTTTCCTTTTTTGGTGAACTGTTCATATTTCATTATTAAAAACCTTGAAATTGTTATTCTAGCTCCTTGATGTGATACTTGATTGATACTCTCAAAGTGCACCAGATTAATTCATTTAGACGTCAAATGTTCAAAATTTTCTTCCGGGGGGGCATGCCCCCGGACCCCCCTAGCACAGAAGGCCCTCTAAAAAAATTTCAGGCACAGGATTTTTTCTTGCTTCAAGCCCTGGTACTTTAACTACCATGAGAATCTGTGCTTTGAACTTAATGGTGGATTTTATGCTCAGTGCAGACTCTGACTTTCATGGATTTAAGGTGAGAGGCTAAAAAACAGTTAATAAATTGCTGAACGTATGTGTTTGTGTGTTTTCACAGTGTGAAGCAGAGGAGCAAGGAGGGTCTGAAGGCAGCCAGGATGGAACTGGAGGACAGAGAAAAGCTCAGAGAGGAGCTGCAGGGCGTTCGAGTCTGGCTGGAGGCCGCAGATGGTGTTCTGTCAGAGATGAAGCAGACCAGCAGCACACAGGAGCTTCAGGTGGGACTTTAGTGATCATCAGGGCTACACCACACCTGCTGTTCGTCTTTTTTGGTCAGTATCCTTTGAGATACTTTTGCCTCCAACATACTGAACAATAAAACAACTGGGCCCAGAGATGTGTTACCATTGCAGACTGTGGAAGTCTATGTAGGATGTACGTTGGAGCTCAAAGGAGTGAGTCTGTGCGTTCAGAGTTCTGTAATTTAGTTATGCTCCTGACCACGGTAAATCCAGAATCCACTGCCTAAGAAGGAATTTTACAAAAAAAGTTTTACATTTAAAAGCTGATGCCAAAAAAACCCTGATGTCCAAGGATGAGTCCCACAGTGTTGTGTTGTCCTCTTCTGATGTCGCATTATCCTCTCTTGATCCACAGACCAACATGAACTGCTCAGCTAGCTAATGGCTGGCAAGCTAAAGTCCACACTACGAAAAGCTGCTAAAGTAGCTAGCTAGATGCTAGCAGGCTAAACCATCCACAGTTCTTCCAGCACAGCACTTTGTCAAAATGGTTTTTACAGTCATTTATAGTCACTGAACAAAAACCCCACACTCTGCAGCTGTCCCGTGCTTACAGTCACTTCTTGTCGGCTCACTATCTAACTGTTGGCTGCTCTTCACCATGCAACCATCTCTCCAGGGTTGCCAGGGCTGACTCTTTTCCTCTTCTTCCCTCCCGCGATTGGCTGACAGCTTAACAAGCAAATCACCATCCATTCAACTTGTACATTGAAATCAGTTTTCTTAATTTCTCCAATACCGAGAGCAGAACCGGTAATGTCGGAGTTACTGTACCCATCCCTACAGAGAATCACTTCACAGGACTCACAGAACTTTATTCAGTTTAAGCTACAGTACTAATGCTAGCCCAGTGCAGCAGGATTTTCAGTCCACCATCATTTCATATAAATTGCTTTGTTTTGGCGAGGCTGTTTGACCAATGACTTAAAACATGTCACTTGGTCCCACGGGTAGCTTGTTAGTACCAGCTGTCAGATGTCACGGAGACCTTACGGCTTTGTGCAAATATGGTTTAAAATTAATTTGACTGGTTATATGGAAGCAAGTACTTCATCTCCTTAGACAGAGGACAAAGAGTATTCTAGTAGATAATCATAAGTGACATTATGATGAGACTAACAAGTGTAGAATATAAACTAGTGTCTTGGACAGTGCATTTAATTTAAGGAGCAGACATATATGCTGTCAGAAAAGAAACATTCAGTTTAATTTCAGTTGGTCTTATAAGGAATAAGGAATATATGCTTTTCTTAATAAGCAGGCAGCTCCCAGGGCCCTCTGAAGGACCTCTGGGTGTCTCCAGGTCCCACAGAGGCCATTAATCTAAACAGCACATCACAGTGAGCTCAGAGTTCAAGTGTTTCTCTCCCTGCAGTGGAGTGTAAACAATGAGTCTCTAATGAGAGAGGACAGTTTCATCATTTGAACTAAAAACACAATGATACATTTGTTCTCACTCGAACCAGCATCATAGCGTGTTGCTATTTTTATACATCACACCACATGAAACACACTTGTCTTAACATTCAGTGAGAAATCTCCACTACCACTGAAAATGATGCATTATAAACATTATGACAGTCTAATTAACGTTAATATATGGTGGGTAGACTCAGCATCAGTACAGCTAGTGTGTTTGATTCTCATGTGCACGGCTGATAGCGGGCTTACAAATACTGTTTTGCAAGATTTGCAGAGGTTTTGGTCTCAATATCTTCAGTGAGTGTTTAAAATCTGGTGAAAAAAGGATGGAAAACAGTGAATTAATTTGTTAATACAGAAGGCTCCTCAGATCTGCAGATCTAAAGCTTATACAGGTTTTGAATAAATGTAGAGAGGCTGTGTGGTGCAGGTGTCCGGTAAATATGAAACGTCTGAGTTTAACCGTTGGCTTGGCCTCAGGCCCGGACACTGTTTGGTGTTCACTGCTATGAACCCACCAACCCGCAGAATCACTCTGCCCTTTGTCCCGAAACCTGAGCAGAGGCCAACATCTCCCCATCCTCTCCGGCTTTCTCTCCACACACACACACACACACGCACACATGCACACATGCACACATGCACACACACACTCCCTTCCCCTTGCAGAGGGTCTGTGTTGATGAAAGACCTGAGCACCCCCTCACCCCATCACTCCCTCTACCCTCACCCCTCCTCTTGTACCAGACACCTTTTGTTCTGTGTTGTAAGTGGATCTTCCAGGTGGCCTTTGTAGCCAAGTCATTCCAGGGACGCGCGCACACACACACAAACACATTGCTACTTATGTACTTGTGAGGACCCTCACTGACATAATACATTCCCTAAACCTAATTGTCACACTTTGCCAAAAAACACATCTTAACCATTACAAAGCTCTTTCACAAAGTGAGGACCAGACAAAATGTCATCAGTTTACAAAATGTCCTCACGTACCTAGAATGTACAGTTTTCTAAAATCATCCCATTATCCCAAAATGTACACACTTTCCTAAAATATCTCCAGTTTCTAAAAATGTAGGCTTTCCTAAAACTTCCCCACTTTCCTGAAAAAAAATACACACTTTCCCAAAATGTCAAGATTTTCCTGAAACATCCACACTTTCCTAAAATTTGCAGACTTTCTCTAAATGTGCAGACTTTCCTTAAACATCCACTTTTTCCTTAAATGTGCAGACTTTTCTAAAACATTCCCACTTTCCTAAAATGTGAAGACTTTATGACAACACCCAGACTGTCCTAAAAAAATATCCCCCGCTTTCCTAAAACATCCACACTTTACTAAAACATGCAGACTTAACAAAAACATCCCCCACTTTTCTGGAAAAAAAAAAATCCCCCACTTTCCTAAAACGAGCAGACTTTCCTAAAACATTCCCACTTTCCTGAAATGTGCAGACTTCATGAAAACATCCCCACTTTTGTAAAACATCCAAACTTTCCTAAAATATGCAGTATTTCCTAAAACATTCCCACTTTCCTGAAATGTGCAGACTTTACGACAACATCCCCCACTTTAAAAAAACAAACAAAAAAACACTTTCCTAAAACAAGCAGACTCTTAAAACATCCCCAAAATGCACATACTTTTCTAAAATCATCCCGTTTTCGCAAAATGTACCCAATTTCCTAAAATGTAGACCATTCTAAAGCCTCCCCACTTTCCTCAAAAAACGTCATTTTCCCAAAATGTACCCACTTTGTACAGACTTTCCTAAAACGTCCCCACCCTACTGAAATGTACCCACTTTACTAAAATGTACAGATTTCCCAAAACTTCCTCTCGTTGGTAAAATGTCTAAATGTTCTAAATTGTCCTCACTTTTTAAAAATTTGACGGATGTACTTGAAGTGGCCATGTTCTCCTAAAACCTGCTAATTTTCCAAAACTGCTCTCCATTTCTTGGAGAGCAAACTGGTCCTCACAAAGATGGACATGCAGGAACAAACACACACACACATACACACTTTGCACTCACTGTGTCCCACTCTCTCATGCAAAGAAAGCGTCCCATCCTTTGTAACACACACACACACACACACACACACACACACACACACGCTCAGTTTCCCATAGTGATAACAAGATGCACCTCCCTCTTCAGCAGAGCATCGGACATATTCAAACCCAGGTAGTCTCTTCTGTATTATCTCACACATTTTAACAGATTTTATATTTAATGTAGGCTGTGACTGTGAAGTAGAATCTTGTTAACGTGAAAAGAGTTTCACTTAACTATTGTGTAATTGAAGGACTTTGGAGAGGAAGGCTCTGTCTGATGAATGTGGCACAGGAGAGAGAGCTAACTGCTGAACAAAGCAATGAGAGCTACTAGCAGAGAGATGGAGATGAGATCGATGTCTGTTTTTCTGTATTAAGGACCTGCAAGATATCAACAGTTTGAGTGAAATATTACACAGTTACAGAAAAATTACATCCTTCCTCACAAAAGGGTTGCTGATGTTGATGCTTGTGAGGAAGTGAGGTGTCAAACTGGACGTTACCAGAGTGATTTTTGAAGGAGAATTTTGACAAATGGTCCCCACAAACATTAACACTGAGATTTTTCCGTTCAGACTTTGTGTTTTCTCTTTCCAACGCAGACTTCATCATTCTACCTTCTTCATTTGGGTTTCTGCGCAATGTTTATTTAAACAACTTTTCTTCTGTCTCTGTTTCACTCTCTGGTTTTCAGGAGGTTCACAGCCAGCTGTGTAACCAGAAGGCTTTGGTCCAGCGCATCATGGAGAGCCTGAAGATGAAGTACTCAGACATGTACACTCTGGTCCCGGCTGAGATCGAAAGCCAACTGCAGGAGGTCAACAAATCGCTGCAGCAAGTGGAAGTAAAGGTACGCAGGACTTTGATTTAAACATAACTGCTGAATGAATCGCAGAATACAGAGTATAGAAATGTAGAATAGCTGGTTGAATATACAGGAAACTTTAGGGAGGAGTTAAAGAGCCTCGTTACCAAATTACAGGGAGAGGTGTTAAACGTTGGAAATGCAATGTATACTTTTGTGAGCTTGAACCGGTGATCTAATAGGATCACATCTGTATATGGTTCAGAAATTACTAAGAAAGAAAAATGAGTGATGACAATGGGAACAGGCTGGCGTGGAAAATCCTAAAAAATCAACTCAGTTAAAGATAATTTCGTAACAGACATCTCTTCATATGACGCATCTGACATTATTCATAATGTTGGATACAATAAACTACCCATTTATGGCCTGTGTCCACATAGCATTTTTTCCTCAGTGCCAGTGTCTTTTTTTTGATCATTCTCAGTGAGAAACAAGCGTATGCGGAGGCTTTTATAGGCCTGTCCTGAGAGCGAAAATTTCTTTCCTTCTGTCGTTGTTGATGTTTAAACTTGATTCATCCATCAGGTGGCAGAGGCGGTGGAGAAGAGCGGCCCCGTCCACAGACTGGCGGCGAAGCTGTCTGAGATCCATGCTGGCCTGACGTCAGTTCAGAAAAGACTTGAACAGAAAAGCCCCAATGTGACTCAAGCAAAGATCACTCAGAAGGTGGGTAGTGACACAGAGGTGTAAAATAGACTCAGAATTATTCCTCCGTGAATTCTGTAATCCAATGCAGTTTTTTGTATTTAAGATTTACCACCTTGAATAACTTTGCAGGTTTGTGATTTATCACTCGTTGCTTTGACCTTTGTGGACTACATTCAAGCGTACACATACAACTAAGAGAGACAATAAATCGTCAGTAAACCTTTATATGATTTTGTGTCTGTGCTCAGCGTGTGTGGGACGAGCTGGACGTGTGGCACTCGTGTCTGGCGGCGCTTGAGGTGGACATGCAGGACTTGGAGAAACCAGAGGAGGCGTTTGCTCTCACTGAGAGACTTGTGGAGGTCCAGCAGCTCCACTCCCACCTCGCCAAGCAGGCAGAGCAGAGGACCACCCTCCTCAGCAAGGTCCCATTTCCCATTCATTTCTCATATGAAACTGCCAGTGTTTAAGGACACCTGCCTAATTCCATGCTTATCATTTCAGAGTTGTAATTACTAGCTGTCGTGTCTCCGGATTTGTTTGGTGTCAGACAGCAAATGTGTTTTTGGTGTTGCAAGTCTTAAATCATGCTGCCCAGAACTGTGTATTTAATTAATGTTTACTATTTGTTTTCAGTCATCACTGGCAAACATCTTGTTAGCAGACCTTTTAACAGTCTCATTATGAAACACTCATTGTGCCCTTCTTATATGTGTTGCAGCTCCGCAACCTCTCTTTCCCTACATGTACTGTAAACACCACTTTCTTGTGTATTTACTGTAGCTGTGCAGCAGTGTTCACACTTCGGTTGGTTTTGTTTCTTGATGAAGGTTTTAAACTAAATAATGTTTGTGTTATCTGGTTAGATCCACACATGGCTTCAGGAGCATCAGGAGATGATTACCAGCTCTAAAAGCTGGATGACTGAGGCAAAGTCATGGCTCGCTACTCCCTGCATCTACACCACCGCTAAATGTCTCAGCAGCCACGTTCACACTCTGCAGGTTGGTACACTGAACTGTGGTCTGTCCTCTCAACACTACACTTTGCATAGGTTTAAAAAGAATCAAATACTTCCTGATAGATCTTTACTGAATATCAGCTCCTTTGTCAACACTAATTCCTGTCTTGTGTCGCAGATGGTGTTGGATGACTCGGCACAGATCCGAACCACTCTGCAGGGATTCAGCTCAGTCCTGAAGGAAATGTCACCGGTCTGTGACATCACAACTCTCCAGGAACAGCTGGTTGAAGTCGATCAACAAGTGGCCAATGTTCAGGAAAGCTTCACTGCTCCTCTGTCTCAGCTGGGGCATGCTGCTGATGTGAGTCTAAGATTTTATTCTTTGTTAAAGATAAAAAAAACGACAGGCAGTCCAAAAATGCATCTGAGGCACTCTGACTGTTCTTTATTAATACATGGATAACCAAAGCACCAAGTCTTCATCAGAGTGTCACCAAATCAACATGACACGAGGTGTGTAATTGATATACAAATGATCATTTTGGGGGGTGAAGTATTCCTTCAATCCTTCTGTTGGTTTATATTTTTTTAGCAGGAGATCTGTTGCTCAGGCCTCTGCTTTTGTACTCTTCTGTTTTGTATATGTCAGTTACATTGATGGATGTCTTGCTGTTTAGGAGGTGGAAGCCATTGAGAGTGAAGTCAGGCGGATGGAGACTGATGTGGCTGAGATCAAGACCTTCTTATCATCTCCAGAGACTTTCCCCAGCCCCAGAGAAGAAAGCCTCAAGGTGACATGTGGAGAAAGATTTTTTCTATCATTGCTTTTCATTTAATATCAAGAAGGTGTTATTGTGTATAAGAAAAGACTAAAATAATGAGTGATACCAAAAAATATCTGTTTTCTGACACCCTTATGATGTGTTACAGGCTGTGGAGCAGAGGATCCAGTCCATGAGGAGGACTGTAGCTGAGATCCAGAAGTGTAAACCCGGCCTGTGTCTTCCAGAGAAGGCTGAAGAGACTCTGACTGTCTTTGGTGTCGTGGACCAGCTGCAGACTCTGCTGCTCGAACTGGAGAAGGTCAGTCAGTCAATAAATCTGTCAGTTAACTGTTAGCTGCCCTTTAACTGGAAGTGACTTCCACTGAACCCTCTGCTTTACTCTTCTCGTAGAAGGTCCCTGCTCTGTTCATCCAGCAGCCTCCAACTCCGGTCCAAGCCAAAGCTCCGTCAGCTAAACAGACGACCTCTCAGCCTCAGCTCCTAACATCCGCTTCAGAGGAGGCTGAGGTGAGTTTGGTTCACTGTCCAAATTTAAAGTGGCTTAGAAGATTTGGGGGGTTTAAATCCTGTCAGTTTTTGAGTGTTTGAAATTTTTAATTTTTGAAATGTATGAAAGAATAAATAAAAAGTGCAGCTTCATCTTGTTCTACAATGACTGCAACAGTAGTTAAAGTACATCAGTTAGGTGACTTAAAACCTTATAATGCTAGATCATTTGTTTAAGAAAGTTTAAGAAAAACTATAATGTGTGCTGCCTCTCAGAAGGAACAAGGAGAGCAGGGCCAAATCAGAATTGCTCATGTTGGAGAGGATGTACTGAAGAGAACAGGAGCTTCACTGCAGACTGTGGAGCAGTCCTCACCTGAACAGAGACAGTCCTGGACACCTGAGAGCACTCAGGTAAGGAAGCCCGGGGGTCATCCTTCTGGTTTTATGTTGTTTGCCATCATTTGTTTAGTGAAGCACTTTGACCTTGAAAGGTGATATAATACATACTTAATCACATACTTATGTTTGAACACTGCAAGTAACAACTAGACTGGTGAACACTGTGTCTTCACGTGTGCAAGTTTCAGGGGTGTGCCACCAAAGAGTGTTCACACTGTAATCTACATGAAATTAACATCACTGGATTATAAAACCTGGGTTTGGATCATCAAATAATCACTACATTTGGTTGTTTAAGGTTTAAAGGTGACTCTTATAAGGTAGAACAAAGTGTAGAGTGTTTGGTACTAACATTCCTGCTTACCCATTCCTCCGTGTGTGTTTTTAACAAAGTTAACAGTTACCATATTCCAAATGTTGTGTTTTTCCCTGCATGCTTGATACTACTATTTTTCCTTTGGAAATTATTATGAGTATACATTGAGTACTATACTACTATAAAAGTGCAGATAGTGGGACATCGAGCTGAAGTTTTTGATTTGCTGTGCACTCGTTAGTGAGAAGACATTTTAACACCCACCAAAAATTGGCTTTCATGTTAACCTCTCAAACTGCGCCCATCACATGGCATCGACGATCTTTGATTAAACCCACAGAACTTTTTTAGTGGAGATCCTAGAGTGTTCAAAAAGTATTGACATATCTAAGGCTGAAGTGTGAAGAGTTTCACTTTTTTTTCTGCTACTAAGTGACCAATGAAATCTTGCTGACGAATGACCTTTCATGTCGACTAATATTTGGTCGACTATTAGGGGGCAGACCAAGAAGGTGAAAACATTCAATTGTATTTATTTATTTTTTAGTGTTAAGATATCTTAATTATATTAATTTCTTGATCTTCATTTAAAAAGCACATTATTTACTTTTTCCTTGGTCCATAGGTTTTAACTAAATTACACTGAAATCAACAGCTAAGCTTTTGAAATATCACGGTTATTAATAAACAAACATACCTCGTCTTTGAGAGATTATAAAGGTTAAAAATATACATGTATTATAGCTACTTTTAGTGCAAAAGTAAACAGTTGATATCAGCAATAGTGGCCAGCCTGCAGCTCAGTGTCCCAGCACTTTTTGAGCACCTCAAGACCCCGTGTGACTCTGCACATGAGCGTGTTTCCGTGTCAGCAGTGGGAGCATCAAGGCGTGCTCCAGGCTGAAGAAGCCACAGAGAAAACAGAGAGTCAGGAGCAGACAGTGGAAGAAGGTGGAGGAGGTGTTTTATGGTGGCTCTGGGATGCTTTCCTGGGCGCTTCGCCAGAGGTAAAGAAGATCTAGAGCTGCTGTGGAAAAACCTTTCATCCAGTTTCTTTTCTCTGTCCTCCATCTGTTCTTTTTGTCACCTCTATTTCCCCATCCCGGAGTTCCTTGTGACCCATGGTCAGCTACTTACAATGTAGTTGGGATGTGTTAACCACACTGGATGCCTTAAATAAATAACTTTAGACTGATAATTCACCTAAGACTGTATGACTGATCCCAGTGGCATAAATCCCAACAATCTAGTTCCAAGTAAATAATTTCTAACATCTATAAAACTTCAGATTCCTGACCTTTGACTTGGGTCACATTGGTCTCCACATCACTGCTGGCAGTTCCCTCACCTTCCTCACCTCTACTACCATCTCCCTACTTATCATGTTAGTTGCTTGCTGCTTCAACAAACCTTTCCCCGATCCCTAATACATCTCTTCATTACTGCAGTTTCCAATTCCTATTTTTCTACTTCATCCTCCCTGCACATCTGTTTCTGGATTTTGTTCTGCCTCTAGAGGACAGTATTGAACAGCGTTTAATACTGTCCTCTAGAGGACAGTATTGAACAGCGTTTATTTTTTTTTGTGACAGCACAGTAGATGAATAAATTCTGTTAACTTATAAAAGGCTACCATCAGAGTTTTCTCTTTCAGCTTTTTCTAGGGATGCACTGATCTGACTTTCTCAGTCAGATACCTGCGCTTTTGGTATCAGCTTATAATGAGTACCAACCTGATTCCAGTGTTTAATTAATAAACTCTGTGCCTCACTGTGTGGAATTGAATGGGATCTATTCGTTTATGTGTAAGGCTTGACATCAGGCCTGACCCTAAGCTGGGCAGTTTTATTTTGGCAACACTGGGAAAAAAATCCATAATAAACCTTGAGCATAGTGTAATTCAAGTGGTCTGGGAGAAAAATAGACCTCTGCACCTCCTCTTGGCTCTATTTTCAGGGCTTAGAAAATCTAGCGTGTGACAGGAGACTTTGGCCAATCACAGGTCATTTCTGACAGAGGATGTTCCTATTAGGGGTTTGCCATGTGATCTCATTCAAGATAATACCGGTATAATTTTTGATATGATATGAAAAAATGTATATTCTGATACTTGCGATATTTCAACTTGTTGACATATTGACGTCATACTGTTACCCACGGCTACCCTGGAAATCCAGAGTTCTCGCGAGAGCACAATTTGAATTTGCTCAGCGAGTCACTCTGGCAATCAGTGAAGATGCTCATTACCTATGCCCCTGGAGCCGAGCTGCACCAATCACATCGGTGTATCTGATATAGGCGGGCCAGAGGCGAGCTAAACAGATGATGACAGTGCTGCGACGATGAAGTCCGGAATCAGTCAGTAAACATTGCAAGATGGCTACAGATAAACACCAGTTGTTTGAAATGGCTTTGGCTGCTACAATGAACGAGTTAGACTTGGCCTTTTCTCTAAAAGAGGAACAGAAGACGGCGCTCGAGTCTTTCCTTTGCAAGAAGGACGTTTTTGCAGTTTTGCCGACCGGATACGGCAAGAGTCTAATCTACCAGTGAGCTCCACTGGTAGCTAAGCGTATACGTCACCCCGTGTATTGTTCTGATTGGTCGTAGTGTTATCCAATTGCGTGCAGTGATATTTTCAAATGCATGCTTGGTGCCGCCCCTCGAGTTGGGCCATTTTGATTGCTCATGGCCAGACCCTCAATCTTTCTAGATTTGGGTCTGGATTTCCAGGCTAACCCACAGCAACAACTTTTGAAAATTATTACCAACTCCCTGGAGGTTCCAAAAAGAGGAGCAACTTCAGTAGTGTGGAATAAACTGTAGCGTCCTGAATGTTTCATGAACAGCCCCGGACTTCTTAGACTCTTTTAGCGGCTTACCGCTCAGAGGGAACTCTGGCAGCAGCAGAATATTGTTATTGGTAAAATACCCTGAAATACCATGATATTATTTTAGGGCCATATCACCCACCCCTTGTTCCTATTGGCAAATACAGATGAGCATGCACGTCCCTTCGGTAAAAGCCTGATTCAGTGGTGGAGAACCCCACAAGCAGGGCTCGACAGTGCGAGCGTTTCACTCTCATTTGCGACAAAAAATAGGTGTGTGCGAACTGTAAAAAATATTTAGGGGCACTTGTGCGCATAAAAACAGTCGAAGCAGCCTATATTTTTGTCAGTAAAAAAATATGATAATCTAACCGCAAATGTTGGAGGAACTCCAGTCGCCTTTCCTTTTCCCCGTGTGACACGGTTATGGGCGGTTTTCCAAGCCACTGTCGGCACAATGAATATAAGTCCCACTGACGGCAGCGTGGAAATGGAGAGATGGACCGGGTTAAGTGGCGGACCTCCGGGGAAGACTGCTCCGTTCTCCCCGCAGTTAGGGACCATTCTCCACGGCCAGGCTGTCAGCTGGGTGGAAATAAGTCAAAGTCTAGCGGAGACGAGGGACCGGGAAAAGCGGTGGTCCTCCGGAGAAACCTGTTCTTCCCGCAGTTATTGCCCGCTGTTGGGCAGGGTGGAAATAAAGCCCTTTTTGCACAGAGCGCGCAAAGCACAGACCTCCGCCGACGAGCCCATTCATTGTGTATGTGCTACCGCGGCGCAAGAGCGCACTGCTCTGCCGCCAAGCTGAGTGGCGCGCGAGAGGGCGCATGCTGCGTCTCTGTTTGAAAGAGGCTAGTCCTGCAGAGTTTCAGAGGACCTGGAGAATGTTTTAGGATAGTAATAACATTATATAAGATAATCATATTGCAAAGATAATATATATAAGATAATAACATTAAAGACAAAATGAAATTGCAATACTTTTTCAAAACTTGATGATTTTACCTTTCTGTACATTTTGTATACAAATTCATTAAATAATTTTGCTTGTAAATGTCTATTTGCATCACGTTTATTACGGAAAACACATTATTTGATCAATTTACATTGTGCCCCTAAAGTTCTTTGTGCGCTCCTTACTTTTTCAACTTAGGAGCACATGTGCTCCTTGGGAAAAAAGTTAGCGTCAAGCCCTGCCCACAAGGAAAGTTGCTATTCCAACATTGGCAGCAACTGCCCACACTCCAAAGACACCCAAAAAAGGAAGATGGACTTCTCAGAAAGAGAGTCCAGAGAAGATTATGACAATTAACAAAAAAAAAACAAAAAAACATGTCAGTAATGGCGAAGTGTAATAAAATTATAATAAATCTTGCAGCAGACACTTGGCCTGGCTTTGCAGATATTGTAAGCAGTTGTAGAACTTGTGGTTAACAGGTGTGAAATACCTCGAAACATTGGACATAATTGTTGTTAGCTCCCTTAGCTATGTGGTCTACAAGCGTGCTGCAGATGCATGACGTAGTGAGCATCAGAGGTTGGAGTAAATCACACACATATGCGAGTCATAACCTTCAACTGTCAAGTCACTGTGGTGACAATCAATCAAGCAAGTTGAGTCAAGTCATACTCAAAACTCATAAAGATAATATAAACTGCACCCAGTGGTGGAATGTAAACTGAATACATTTACTCAGGTACTGTAAATCTGAGTCTTTTCTTCTCATGTCACTGTCTGCTCTACTTTTTTAAAGGTTACTTCTCAATATCTAGAAAAATACAAGTCTTTCATCAGTGTTTATCAAGCAAGTCTCAAGTCCTACAGTTTGTGACTTGAGTCAGATTGGTGCATCCCTACACAAAACATTTTGGTGTGGTTGTTCATTCAGCCTTTTTAATACGTGTCATTGCTGGTGTTAGGAAACTCTGGTTGTCCCACAAGAGACTGAAGGTGCCACTGGACTAACCACTGAACAAACTGGAGAAGTTAGACAGGTAAGTCAACCCTCAACACTGTGAAACATTCTCATTGGCTCCTATTGAAATTTCGGCTTAAAAAAAAAAAATAGGAGAAGTGTGGTAATATTTTCTGTTTTGGTACTGGCAACAGATTAAAGAACAACCCCAACAGTAAATTTATCCTGCTAACGGGTCTTGCCTTTGTATCCAAAGTCTGATATTCCATACAGCTTTATTATTGTCCAAAAACTACTACTAATGTGATTTAAAAACAACAACACAAAAACAACGGGCTGCATGTCTGCTCAAAACAGTGAGCTAATTTTCCCTTTTATATTTATATGATTGACATCAGCCTCCATATTCTTAACAAATCCTTAAATAGGAATTGATAGTATTGAAAACCACCAATATGAGCCACTGAATTTGTTTTACAATACAGCAGGACAACAAAACAGAGAGATGTTCATAACATTACGTGATGTAATTCCATAACGGAGTGTATTGGTAACTGTGTGATCCCTATCTGGTGGAAACCCTTTGTATGTGTTTAACTGACTGACCTGACTGATCTTCTAACCCTCCTCATGTTTCTTCAGGATGTTGAGAGCCCCACTGACACCACAGAAGCAAGTTCATCTGAAGCTTTATCAAAATCCCCCGGCACAGTCACAGCTCAGTCACTGCCTGAGAGCATGGTAAACGCCTCCACCGTAAAAGTCTCCAAACCCGACTCTCAGCAGAAATGTGTAGTCTCCTAGATCTACAGCTTCTATCACTAGAACTTTTCACTTCCTCTTGACTCAAGCATTGAACTTCCAGCTTCTTCTAGAGACATGTGCAGAGCTAGAGCTAAACCTCAGAGGCAAGCCTAGATTTTACTGCCTCTTCTCGAATCAGAGAAGACTTACGAATTTTCTCTACAGCCAATTCAAGAACTCCCAACCATAGGACTCGAAACCTCCTCTAGAACCTTCTCTAGAATCCCTGTTGTTTTCAGACCTGTCATTCCTTCTAGAACCAAGCCTAGCACACCAATGTGTACAACCAAAGATCTCCCAACCTCTTATATGTCCAACCTTTAAAGTCCTCTAGAATCTAACAGAGCAAACTTGGAAATTTACATTTTTCTAGAGATCTAGGTATGTAAAACCCAAGTCTCCTAGACACAGATGTACATCTCTTCAGTCTAGAGACAGTGCGACCTCTTCTAGATCCCCCAACCTCTTCTCGGTCCAATCTTTAAAGTCCTCTAGAATCAAGCCTAGATGTCAAAGCTTCCTCTAGAATTTCAGAGGAAACTTGGAACTTTACGTTTTTCTAGAGCAAATAAATGCAGTGTTTTGTTTTTTTTCTAGAGATCTAGGCATGTAAAAACCCACTTCTCCTAGACATGGGTCTACAGCTCTGCAGTCTAGACGGTACAACCAATTCTAGATCTCCCAAGGCCTTCTAGATCTAGCCTTAGAACTCCCAATGTCTTCTTGAATCAAGCTTTAGATTTCAAGAACTCATCTAGAATCTTTGAGAACAAGCCCTAGAACTCCTGGGACACTGGGACTCCCAAATTATTCTAGATTAAGGTCTATAGCCTCGTCTTCTGTACTCAGATCTAGAGCTCAGTATGTCTTCTAGAGCTACTTTGATGTTTTTCTTGAGCCATATCTTTCTTCCAGTCCCCATGTGTTCTGGAACCAAACCTAGAACACCATTTTTTCTAGACCCTGTTCTAGATTTCTCAACTTCTTCTAGATCTATCAATAGAACTTGTAGTGCCTTTATGAATCCTTGTAGAAAAAAAAACTGGAACTTGACTTTTTCTAGAACCATTTTCTTTACAACCAAATTCAGAACGCTTCTAGAACTAAACCTAGAACCTTCATTTTTCTAGAACCAAGTTTAGAGTGCCTCAAGTATTCTGGCTCCAAGCCTAGATCTTCAGGTCCTCCTTGAAATGTCTCAACCCTCAGTGCATTTACATGGCAGAGAATTCCAGATATTGCCGTCAGCAGTTCGAAGCTTTGGACAGTTTGTTTACATTAGACATTTGATGGTTTGTCAGTGTTTCTTACTACAGTATGAAAAATAAAATAGAGTTCAGGACTAAGTACTAAAATCAAACATGTGCCAAAGATGTACTTTCTCCAAAATGAATTGTGTGTTTACATGAAGGACTACTGAGCTTGTCCATCCTGATGAATGATTCTGCCTACTTGTTGACGAGTGCTCGCCACTGAGACGTGGTTCAAGACGACAACACAGTATTTTGTGAGACGTGTTTGACGAGGTGACGGTTACTATTTTACCAAAAACAGAAAGCAGACTTGACATTTAGCATGTGGGGTGGATGGTTTTTGGTCTGTAATAAGCTTCTGCATGGACCTTAAGTCTGATGGGTTAATATGTTTTTATAAAGTGTACTAATAGACACATTGTGTGAACCATGTTTTTATAATGTATCATATAGGGAATGGTGTTTTAAGTTAGTTCAACTTTTCAATTGTTGACCTTTCATTTACTGTCTGAGCTCATTTACCAGCAAATGCTGAGCGAATTTGTTAAAATAAACTTGCTTGCTTACCTGCACCTGCCATTTGAATTTCCATAAGCTGAACATGATAATAAATTCTTGTTTACAGAGTTGATCGATTAACTGATTGATTATTAGGTCAGTAAACTGCTCAGTCACTGCCTGGCAGCAGGAGAGTGTGGAGAAAGATTCCCGCTTTGTTATGAATCAGCATATTTACTTTCACTCTCTACAATGCAGATTTTATACTTAAGAAAGTTTTCTAAGATGACTGTTGGCCATGAAAATGCACTGGTGTGACATGATTACTGATTAACACGCTGCTGTTGGCAGGTGAAAACCACGTAACTCCAAATTTAGTTTAAGTTTCTTATTACCTAATGAAAGAGATCATACTGAAATGATCAAGGCTCATCCATAATTTCATTCATATCAATTTAACAACAGCAACAACATCTGAGAAGCCACCATTTTTGGAGATACAAGGTTTTCACCTGGAAGCAGTGGTACTGAGATGTCTTAAGTTACATGGCATGTGCTGTACTTGTACTTGTTCCACTTTTGTCTTTCCATTCTGTCTACATATCCAAACAAGAGCACAAATACAAATAAACCCACAACAGTGATCCACTCCTCCGTCTCTCATTCTCTGTGTCAGGAGCTCATGAAGGGATAGAGGGGGCTTGTGTGGAGGGGAAATGACCCAGTGGGGTTGAAGACATACACAGTATATACACAGAGCAGACACACGGGCCAAGGACTCAGTCACGCCTGCCCAAAAACACTCACTAAGGACTCAAGCACACCTTTTACAGAAGTGAGGGGGACAGCAGTACATGGTCAGACTTTAAAAGACCGATTCAGAAGTCCTCTAGAAACAGCAGCAGCCATAGCCACCACACATGCATACGCCCTCGCTCAACTCCGTATAACATAAGCAGAACAAGCAGAGGCCTCAGAGCCTCCACCCTCCTCCACCTCCACATTCAGACTGTAGCATCAGGACAACACTGAGGGCCTGCAGCTGCCCTAATATTCCAAAAAAAGACTAAAAAAATAACACTCTGCCCCAGTTTCAGCATGATACACAAACAAAAGCACCGTCCCCTTCCTAACCCTCTAACTGTACAGGATGCAGAGTTGGAACCTGGTTGCACAGAAATAACTCACTGATGACCTGAGTTGACAAATCTGCCGTTGAGTTACAAGATATAATCACCTACTCGTTGGTTTAATGGTTGGTTTTAAGGTTGCGCCATCAACCCTGGTGAATGCTGTGTTTGTTTAACCTGCATTTACCTTTAATCTATTTATGTTTTGCAAAGATTTGTTTTTATTTACTGATGCTGCTCAAATTACAGTGCAGGAGCAGTTCCAAAAATGTGTCAGGTGTCCATTTGTGCATTCGAAAATATTGTTTAAAACGTACAAAAAAAAGGACATATACAAAAGTACAATATTTAAATTTTGATATCAGATACTATTCCTTAGGACATTTTGATGTACAAACATATTAATAAATATCTTTAATGCATTTCTATTACATTTTGCATTTATATTTGTGAATATATATTCATACAGAGCCCAGGACATGTCAAGAGGAGCATTCTTTGTCCTAAAATTAGGGATTTATTACTAAAAATTACTACTTTGTCATTTTAAAGACTTATTTTTTAGTAATTTTAACTCTTAAAGTGATGACTTGTGCCCTTGAATTACTAAATTGTACTGTACAGGGATCAAGCAGATCCTTTAAAAGTCTTAAAAGGCATTGAATTCATCTTGAAATAATACCTTAATTGGTATTAAAATGTCTTAAATCAGTCCCTCAAGTCTTAACATGGGATGAAGGAATTTTATGAATTATTTTTTCCTGACGTTGCATTGTAAACTCTCAAAGTAAAGAATGTCCTTAAAAAAACGACAATAATTTAATTTAATGCCTCTCACATTAACTTATCCAAAAAGTCAGATTTTATGTTACAATAAATATTTGGGCAAAACTGTCCCTATCCTGAAATAATTTATGTCTTTCACTTTTTTTACGTTTTGTCTTAAATAAAACTGGTCGAAAATTTGATTCCAAGTGACTTTTTAATAAAGTCTTAAAAAGTCTTAACTCCCACTCGCCTTAAGCTGTAGAAACCCTGCTGTAAAATTAATTAATTCATGCTCTCATTCCATGTGTCCTTTAATATTGATATACTGATAACAAAAAAGTATGCAAAACGTGTGGTCGAAAATTACAGACGGAGCCACAACAACTTCCAACAAACTTGTTTTTCACTTTTGAAAGCATTAATGATTTTTGTATTTTTAGTATTTAATATATTTTGTTCATTTAATACATTACTTTTAAAATGGCATTACAGTTGGTGAAGAGCAGATTATGACTTGTTTAAGACCCAAAATTCAAAGTTAAGGACTTGGGACTTGAGACTTAATTGTGCATACAAACAATGACTTTGTCCAGTCTCTGCCTCAAAATAAGAATCATGTTTTTGTTACCTTAGATTGAGTTATTTATATTTACATAGGGAGCGGGTCCTCCTCCATGGAGTCTGCCATGTTGTTTCTACTGTAGCCCAGAATGGACAAACAAACATTGGCTCTAGATAGGGCCATTCATGTTTTTGCGTCACCCACTGTAATTCTCCTATGTGCTTGGGACATGGGAGGACAGCTGGTTGCAATCTGCAAACTCACCACTAGATGCCACTAAATCCCACACACTACAGCTTTAAAAGTAATTTGAAGATATAAGTTACTAAAAATATGTTTCCTCAATATGTTCAAACTTAAAAAATATATGTATATATAAAAAATGATAATTTGAGGCATTCCTTTATATAAAAAAAAGTCTTCTCTAACAGCCACAGGGCTCTGTTTATTCACATTAGACTTCAGTGACATTAAAGTGTGGTGGATGTTTGAGTCAGGTGATTAATCCTGACATTCAAAGCAGGTTTGTTGACTCTTGGTGTTCACCTCCTGTCAAACCCTCAGTAGTCTCCTGGCAACTGTGGTCACGGGGCTCAGTCATGAAAGAAAATCAGTTATTCGATGCACTGTGAGTCTGAACTTGCACAAAATGCACAAAATGTTCATAGTTGATTGAACAGGAAGCTCAGGTATGGGTCAGAGAAGTTTCAAGAGGAGGGGAAGAAATACAAAGAACACTAGAGCCTACAGATGAAGTTCTGACACGATAAAAGATGATTGACAGCTTTGAGCTGCATTAAGAGAGTGAGGAAGAAAAAGGGAAGTGTTTGTATTCTGTGTTGACTGCTTACTCAGCTGAGCCGGCCCTCAGTCTCAGCTCCGCCCCTGCAGCCTGAGGCCTCTCCTCTTTCTCTGTGTCTCTGTCACTCCTGTGATAAAGAGTTGCTGTCACTGGTGCCCTGCCACCGCTCCAGGAAGTGGTTTGTACCACAGGTGGGTGGAGCAGAGAGGGAGAGAAAGAGAAGAGAAACTAAGAGGGAGAGGGATAAACAGGCAGACTGGAGGCTGTAGTGTGAGAAGTAGAGTTACAGGTCAGAATTATCTGTTCAGATCAATATCAGAGCTCCAACCTGTTCAGGTGGAGTCAACCTAAAGCTGCAGTTTGCTCAGGACCCCTTTCACCCTCCCTCCCTTCCTCCCCCCTCTCCACTCTCTACCTGCGACCCTGGAGCAGAGCGGCTCAGCCGGGTGTGTTGTGTTTGTGTCCCAGGAGCCTGGGCCCCGCCCCCGTGAAGGTGTCCTGCATGTGTGCCTGGAGAGGATCAGCCAGCTGGAGCTGTGGTTGCAGAGAGCCCAGAGGAGTCTGGTAGCCAGTGGAGCTGCTGGGTCGTCAGCCATGCAGGACAGCGTGGAGCAGCAACTTCTCACCTGTCAGGTAAGCTCCGCCCACCTGGGAACCAGGTCACTCCCAGGAGTTTCAGGTCAAATGATGTCTAGATTTCATGCAGGGCTAAATGAGGTTGAAGAGTGAATGTTTTCAGATAGTGGGTCACATAGAGCTGTAGGTTCAGCACCATTTAAGTGAATGTATTATTCAGTTTTTCAATATTTTTTATTTTTATTGTTGTTTTAAACCCGTTTATTTGCAGAAGCAGTTTACTCTTTTTCATTTTTCACACTGGGTGAGAGGCAGGGTTCACCCTGGACAGGTCACCAGACTATCACAGGGCTGACACATAGAGACAGACAACCATTCATACTCACATTCACACCTACGGACAATTTAGAGTCACCAATTAACCTGCATGTCTTTGGACTGTGGGAGGAAGCTGGAGCACCTGGAGGAAACCCACGCTGACACGAGGAGAACATGCAAACTCCACACAGAAGGGCTCCCCCACCCTGGGTTCAAACCAGGAACTCTCTTGCTGTGAGGCGACAGTGCTAACCATGCTAGAAAAAGAGATTAATACAAATAATTAAAAAGTCCAAGTTCAATTAAAAGCCAGGCTAAAAAAGCAGGTCTTGAGTTTGCTTTAAATTGATGCCTTACCGTGGGTTTTTGTTCTAACTTTGGTGGATGATTGAAAGGCCACTCTACCAGAGGACATGAGAGTTCTAGAGGGTTCCTACGATAAAAGCAAATCTGATAAACAGGTAGGACTAAGACCATTGTAGATGCAGTTTTCTTTTTCTTTAGCTATAAGTCAATTGGGCTGGATTGTGTGAGGGTTGTCCTGAGGCCTTGCACTGTTAGAGGAGGTGAGTCTCAGGACCAGCTGGCTGTCTCTCTCTCTGTTTATCAGACCACAACTGAGACAAGAATAAGCTGCAAGCCAGTCCACCAACCCTCCGCCTCACTTCCTGCCTCTGTGACTGCTGCGCCGGGTCTAACCAGTGTAACAGCAGCAACAGAAAGTTTGCTGACCCAGCTTCACGTTGGGTGGCTGTCTGGTCCCCCAGAGCCGGGGTTTGCACTTGCTGGATTTGTGTAACTGCGGCCACTGAAGGAAACTGATGTCTAAAATATCATTGTGTGCTGCAGTGTCAAGATCAGACCAAACCAAACCATGACAAACAGCTCCGGACTGAAAGTAACACGGACTCTCTCGATAATTTTCTTTCCCTCAGGGACAGAGTCAACTTCTAAGCAGGATTCAGAGTCAAGTTACCATCTGAGAAGTTAAACTAGTTTTTCAAATCAGCACTTCAGCAGTCTGACAGATTAATCCTGCCTCTGTTGGGCCTAAGAATAGTTACAGTCACAGGTCACTGGACGAGTCACGTGACTTAACCAGCATTTCAAGTTGCACAATATTTTTTCAGACAGAGCGAAATATGACTCATAAATCATCTCCTAGTGACGGCTGCTTATTTCAGATCTTGCAGAATCTCAGCTCAGCTGCAAAGTTAAGAAACTGGCAGCTTAAAATTTCCCTCCCATGTTGTGTTTTTTGCTGGGCTATGATGTAAGATGTTGAGACACATCTGGCTGTGTGCATGGAGAGGTCAAAGTTCATCAACTGGAAATGTTAAGTTGGTTAAAGTTGAACATATTGATGAGCAGAGTGTGTAACAGACTGTCTGTCTGTCTGGTAGCCTCCTCTGCAGCTCGATACTGTTTTTACTATCTCAGAGCTGATAACACAGTGACGCCAACACAGTCACCTCTTACAGCTCTAAACACAAGCGTCATATTGATACATTTGGTGTGTGTGTGTGTGTGTGTTTCCTTATTGCCCTACTGTACCACTGTTTCCTGGGTTGGAGGATCCATTCGCACAAAGACTCTCTAACTAAAAATACATTGCAGTCTGAATAATTTTGGAGATTCGTAACGTTCATATCAATTATCACAATCTGTTAATTTTAAAAATCTTTGAACTTAGAGTTTTGTCTTGCTTCTATGTCTACTTTCATTGATGTTGCATAACTTGAATTAAATTGTCAGCTCAGCATAAATACTAAAAGATATCTAGACAGAGGCCACCATCAACTCCTCAGATGAGTCTCACGCTTCGTTCTACCCTCACTCATGAACAAGACCCCGAGATACTTCAACTTCCTCTCTTGGGGAAGTATCTCTCTCCAAACCCAGAAGGCAAAGCTTTCAATCTACTGGTCCATCTACGTCCCAACCCTCACCTATGTTAATGAGCTCTGGGTAGTGGCCAAAAGATTGAGATCGCAGATACAAGTGGCCAAAATGAGCTTCCTCCGTGAGTGGCTCGACTCAGCCTTAGAGATAGGGTGAGGAGCTCAGACATCCGGAGGGAGCTCAGAGTAGAGCTGCTGCTCCTTCATGTCGAAAGGGGTCAATTGAGGTGGCTCGGGCATCTGATCAGGATCCTCCTGGGCGCCGAGTGTACCGGGCATGTCCCACTGGTAGGAGGCCCTGGGGCAGACCCAGAACACACTGGAGGGATTACATATCTCATCTGGCCTGGGAACACCCTTGGGTCCCCCAGGAGGAGCTGGAAAGCTTTGCTGGGTAGAGGGACGTCTGGGGTGCTTTGCTCGGCCTGCTGCGCCCATGACCTGGCTTTCGATAAGCAGTTGAAAACATTTTTTTCAAACATTTCTTCAACTAGTCACTTATTAACCTGTGCCCTTCTTAAACCTGCTCTTAGAGAGAGTTCTGGTTTGTTTTTCACAGTGGAATTCCACAGTTTCCTTTGGGATCAGTAACGTATTTCTGTTTCTGATCCAGAGAGTAGGGTTCATCAACTGTCACCTGCTCTGATTTTATTACCTTTGAAGTTTGCTTTACGTCAGCTTGTAAAAAGCATTGTCTGTCCATTCAAACCAGGACTGCTGGAGAAAGTGAAACAACAGTTGCCTCATTAAACATCAACCCAAAGCAGCTTTAATCAGACAGTAATGTATTGTTGTACAGCGATGTGCTAGTTAAACATTTCTAGTTCCACTTCACTGGACGTTGCAGTCGTCAGCTGAGAAAACAAATGACTTGTAGAGTTCAGAGTTTAACAAACACCAGATGCCAGCTGCTGGTATTTGCATTGAGGGTGCAGTGTGGCTGCAGAGGTGGTGACCACACTGGCAAAGGTCTCAGAAACCAACTAATCAAGTGTTGTAGATTTGAACTCTGCCAGGTCATCCTGACGACCAAACAAACACATGTAAACAGGCTGCAGACGTCACAGCAGAAGCCCCCAAAGTTACTTTTAAAATAATGAACTACCTTTTATAATCAATATATATTAGATATTTTAACACATTGTTTTAGTCATATTGTTGCTGTCCTGTGAAAAAGGGAACTTTCCATGAGCCAAATTCCTGATAGGGACGAGGGCAGGGGACTTTGTTAAAATGATTATGTGAACTTGAAAGTGAAAATGTAATTCCACAATAGCGTTATAATTTTCCACACACGTATAAATAAATATTAAAATTTTACAACGCAGTAATCCAGGTTTCATTGTAACATACTTGTTGTAGGTGTTGAATGACCATATTAAAATGAAAGTGGTGATCTGCAGCAATAGTTTCGATGTCTGGTCCATTTTCTCTGCGAGCTGTGAGCGAATCTGGCAAGAAAACACACTGGTAATCTTATATAAACAATCTAAAGGATATATTTACATGATATAAATGATAAATGTGCATCCCATCTGTGCCAAACCTTTTGATTTTCCAGACTCCTCTCCATGCACAAATGGAAAATTAGGTTACATTTCTTACACTGCATTTTAATTTTCAAACTGGATTCAATATCTTCTCCTTTACAGCAGTTGAAATTTTTGAATATTAAGGCCTTGTTTACACGGATACCGATACAAATAAAAACGGATTGTTATTTATCCCGTATAAAAAAATTCTGGGTTTACACGATCAGTTGTGAAAACGATATCCCTGTTTACATGAAAACGCAAAAACGGCAGATTTTTGCTGCAATTAGCATGCCAGGCCAGTAGGTGGCGATACGCCATATGTCAAACACCATATAAGAACGTTCTGCACATGCACAGTGATTTGTTTTCCTCTTGGCGCTCGTGATATAAACAATGATAAACTACATTTTAACCCCATGTAGCATAGTTAGCTGCTATGCACTTACTAATATTGGGCACAGCAGACGTCTATGTGCGCCAATGTAGCGGTGATGTTGATGCAGCAGTGCTAAGTTCATTTGTAAGCTCGTAAGTAGCCCCAAAAGTGCTAACAATACGTAAACAACCCGGCATATATCCGCCATTGTTGTTGTGGTTCCAAGGCGCCTAATGGGCATGTGCAAACTGGGTTGCAACTTCATCGTTTTCCAAAATCTCCGTCTCTCCTGTCCACGTTTCCATAGAAACCAATAAACAGGCCCTAAATGTCGAATGCATTTTTATTTTCATTTTGACTTGATCATTGTTTGCATAAATGGAAATCAGGTATATTGTTAATATTGCATTTTTAAATTTGACTTAACATTTGAATATTGTCCACTGTACAGAGAGTACAACTTTGAAGATTAAATGTCACACAGGTTTTCCCTTTTGATTTTAATCGTCATGGAACACCCATAGAAATATGTGAAAATGAAATTTGGATTACTGCATTTTTTGTTTTTACTCAAATACGACACATTGAAAATTATAGTGTTATTGTGGAATTGCGGTTTCATTTTCAAGTTTACATTACCATTTTAATAAAGTCGCTACAGGCTTCCATATTTTTCCTGAATATCTAGTGGGTTTTTAAATGTTTATTAAGCCTAAGATGTAGGAGAATTTTCTAAGCTCACAAAGAGAGAAATGATATCACCTTAACAGAGATGACATGTAAAAACTCTTTTATTTTCATCGCTTACATATTCACAAACTTTTGTATGTCTGTATTTAGTTAAAAGAGGGAATGACTTTTCTGCAAAAATACAATATTGATAATAAGAATTTAGAGTGTTTTTATGTTTCTGTTGCTTCCGTAAGGATCATCCAAGAAATCAGGAGGAGACAAATTTTTAGGGTGTAAAAATTAATTTAAAAAGATATAAAATTGGACATACACTGCAAATATTTGGTAAATTTTCTAAACTCCCATGATTAAGTACGGAAACCCATTTCAGCCAATGTTGTGAACAAAAAAATATCCTGTGAGTCATTATAACGGCAAACTTTCTCATCATAATGACAAACCATGTCATTACTTCAAACGAGTTTTTCATTATAATGACTTATAGGATCTTCAGCAAGCCCAGGAAATCCAGCAAGCCCAAACCCCAGCTCTAGGGGACCAGACAGCCACCCAACTCCAAGCTGGGTCGGCAAACTTTCTGTTGCTGCTGTTACACTGGTTAGACCCGGCGCAGCTGCTGGCCATCAGCCTGCTGTGACACTGGGTGCTGTTTTTTTTTTTTTCCCCAGCACATTGGTAGAAATGGGCTTCATAGTGAAGCCTTTATGTTTTCAGCATGTTGCCAAAATCCTTATTTTATGAGCTTATCTCGTGTTGAATAAAAAAATTTGAATTTGCAAAGTAACTGCAGCTATCAGATAAATATGGTGAAGTGAAACATAGAATATTTGCCTCTGATAAGAAGTGGAAATACTCATGCAGAGTACAAGTTCATTAAAACCTTTGAGGTACCTGTACAGTACAAAACGAGTACAATCTTGATGACAGACTTTAGTTCGTTATGGATGTTTGACGCTTGGTTGTTATTCAGTCTGTGGTGTAATAGTTCTCAGTCAATAGAGTCATGCCCTCACAGGCTTCATTATTGTGTCTTCATTCAAAGCTCTGGCAGGTCTTCCCTCCCAGGAGTCACTCCCTGCTGACCCACACAGTGTAACTGGAGCCTCCATTAAAGTTTCAGAGGTTAAACACGTCCCTCCGTCACACGTCACGTTTGAATGAAGCATTGTGGGAAAACAAACAGCAGCTGATGAGATCTTGTCTCCTATTCAGATAAACTAAAGCAGCTCGTTCACTGAGACGCTTCATTCATGACCCAGATCCAGCTTACAAAATGATACATGAACCTTTGTGCTGCAGTATTTACACCTGACCTCAGATCAGAGATTGTCAATGTCACACAGACAAAATTAAAGTCTCTCTCTGATATGTATATTAAAAGAATGAATGATTTGACACCAGTGTGTGTGTTCATGTGCAGGAGATGTTCCTGGAGATCGAGCAGAGGGTTGCCGGCCTGTCAGTGCACAGCCAGGCAGTCGACCACCAGCAGCAGCAGCAGGATGAACTGGGAGCTGTGGGGTCCCAGCAGGAGGCGGCTGAGCTGCTCTCGTCTAAACTGGAGCTCCTGAAGGCCAACCTGGTCTCCTTCCAACAGCTGCTGCAGGACAGACAGGACGAGGAGAGACTCATCGCACACAAGGAGCTGCAGGAACAGGTACATGCAGTCTGTACGGCTGGATACAAGGTGCCCAGGGTCATGGAAAACCCGGAAAAGTCATGGAATGTTGTGTGTATGACATTGTGACAGTAATCTCCTCTGGATAACTTCCCAAGTAGGCGTAGCTGAAATGCGTGTCGATGTGTTTACCATCATATCTCCATTTTCTCCTCGCGTTCCCTCTCTCCTTTGAGGTGTGGCAGCTATCTGAAATTATGTTTAAGTGGAATTTGAATATAATTTGTTTGAAAAATGCCAGGCAAATGGGGCAAGAAGGAAAAATTGTTAACATAAGTCCTTTAAAAGTCATGGAAAAGCTTTGAAAGTTTGTCCAGATGTCTGTACTACGAAGCAGGATTTGGAGTTAGCGAGGTAACTTCAGGGTTAACTCTGGGTTTTCAGTTCTACAAAGCTGGTTCTCTTTTTACCGGGATAAATCACCATGGTAACTTATGCTAACAGCTCTTTACTTTACTCAGCTTTAACTCTGAGGAAACCAAGCCAATGTGCTCAGGTTTCAAAGGATTGAAAAACAAAAAATAATTTATTTATTTGATAATCTTACATATGAGTCATCAACATCCTTCCTCTGGACGTTTCCTTTCTCATTTGACATTTTTGTGTAGGTTACATGTTTAAAAGGATGTTGAGGTGTTTTTGTTTCTGACAGCGGAGCAGCTGGTGCACATATGGCAAAGTCACTCTCTGATAATTATTAATAACACCTTTGAAAATAGATTAGTTAGTGCGCATGCGCCCGCGCGTGCAGCCTGTTGCAGTCGCTCCTGCTTGTTTTTCTCGGTTTTCTTACTTTTTTGCTTTATTAAGTTTGGTATTTGTGCTGGCTTTTTAAATTTCTTATATTTTCATGTATCTTTCCTCTCTTCTAAGGAGCACCTGTAACATAAATAATTTCCCCTCAGGGATCAATAAAGTATTTCTGATTCTGATAAAGCATTACAGGCTCACAAGCACT